GCCCTGGTGGAGTTATGCACTCTACTGACAGCCATTCTAGTCTTTTCTCTAAATCGTGTAATTGTCTATGTATACATGCATGTGATTGTTAAGCTTTTGTACATTTTTATTTTTACAAAAATAAATGTTTTGCGATACATCCTTAGAACTATGTAACATCTTTGCAGTCGTTCATACAGTTTACTCTTTAATAAAAAAAGAAGAAATTAAAATGCCATTCAATGCACGCTCATGTTTGACCTAATAACAAACTTCAACGAGTCTCGGCACAAAGCCTGATGAGTTTGTTTTCAGATTACACACAACCATGCCATGATAATAAAGGCACAATAAAGGCATTTTACATTTCTTTTTCAAGAAAATGCCTTGTAGTATTCTTCAGTTTATTTGTCTTCATGTGTCCGAACCAAGAGCAACTGATAAAAATTCAGTTTGAGTCCAGGATGCACTTCAGCCCAGTGTGTTTTTGTGTTTATATAGTTTTTATAAATCAACAACCCTGAATGAGACAATTAATCTTTTCTTTGAAAACACCCTGCTTGCATAAACATGATTTGCACAGAAGCCCACTTAGACAAACTCTCTGGAAAAACCTCCTCCCACAGAGGAAATATTAAGTCTTGGAAAATAAAAGTCAGATGCTCTATTCATTGCCAATAATTCTTTGCTGTGTTTTTTTTATGTATAAATCTAGTACAAGGGATGCAGACCAGTACCTTTCCACCTCCTTCCAAAGAACCCGACACCAGTTCTACGAATAACTGACCTGCATTGTGTCAGTGCCAACACAGAGTGGCACCAAACCAGGCACCAGAAGGAAAACGAATGCAGGAGCTGTGTTGCATAAGTTGGCATCATTGTGAAATGTCAGACCTGAGTAACACTGAGGTAAAAATCCCAGTAACAAGACGTAAAGTAAAGAATCTAATGTGCATTTATACTCTTTAAGAGAAAGTCAGAAACTCTGGGCTGTCAATCCAGGTTGTAAACTCAAACAAAGGGCAGAGGTGTAGAAACAAAGATGTGAGACGATCCCCGTCTGTCCTTTGTCTTGTTTTGTGTAAATATGCCGTTTAAGTTGTTGTGCGACCCACCGCCACACTTCGTCAGATTTACTTTGACATCAGCTTTCATAGTCGCCACTGCAGGACGGAGCAGATTTGACAGACTTACGTGCAGTGAAAAGAAACTAAGGTAAGTTTGAGCCATTTTTAATTAGTTATTGTAATTCAGTTTGTCAAACTTGCATTGTATTTTAGTTTTTTTTCAAATAAAGCCATTATTTCTGTCATACGTACCATCAATTTGAGAGACAGAAGAAGCATAAAAAATATCATATATACTGGAAGTAGCACTAAATCACTGTACTAGAACAACAAATTTCCAGCAGTTCATAGACAATATTAAGAGACGCCCCAGAGGGAATTCCAGTATTACGATCTGTATCCGTTTCTGTTAAAGCGCCCGTGCGATGCTACAAACTCCCGGTAGAGATCAGTCTGACTGACTCCTTATCCTCTAACTCACTCTTAAAGACTTTATTTTATAAATGTGCTTTAATTTTTTAAGCCACCTTAAAAATCTATTTTATATAATAGCATTCTTGTAACACCTACTTTATTTTATTTAGTTTGCTTTGTAACATTCTATTTAGCTTTTTTTGAGTGTATTGTTATTATTGTTTCCTCATTTTGAACAATAAGAATCATAAAAGCAATGCTTCACTTTCATTTCACATTCTTGATCTTTAGCTGAAATCATTTTCAAAACTGCAGCAGGAGTCGTTATAGTCTATCATATTTACAAAATACATTTCTGATGTTTCTTCCAAACGGACGATCAATTGATGCATTTTCAGTGTTGTCAAATGCATTTTTTAATTGCCTCTGTGTATAGAAATTTCAACATTAAATCTAGAAATTGAAATGCTGAAACCAAGCTGTTCTTGTCTCTCTATAAAGAACAGATTAGGCACCAACTCCACTACATGTCGAAGAAGACCAGAGAGAAGAAGCAGATGGATCCACAGACTCCACAGGGGCCAAACAACCTCAGACAACCTCGGACTATGGCAAAATAATGGTTAACAACCACCCCCACTGGCTCAACACAGAAGTGTAATATGGACAAGACAATGTACGTGGGCTTCAGCTTCATCCCCAAGTATAACATCACTGTAAATGATACACAGGCAGTCGTCTCTGGTTTTCTGCAGACTGCCCCAGAGGATCCCCAGCGTTACCTCATCAGCCTTGTCCTCTCCTGCATTTACACTATTTTCCTCTTCCCTGTCGGCTTCATCGGGAACATCCTCATCTTAGTCATCAACCTGGAGCACAGGGGCCGCTTGACAGCCCCGGACCTCTACTTTGTGAACCTGGCCGTGGCCGACCTCTTCCTCGTGGCCGACTCTCTGATCGAGGTGTTCAACCTGAAGCAGGGCTACTATGACAAGGCCGGCCTCTGCACCTTCATGAACCTGTTCCAGCAGGTGAACATGTACAGCAGCGTCTTCTTCTTGACGTGGATGAGCTTCGATCGGTTTGTCGCACTGACCAGCAGCGTGGGGCGCAGCATGACGCACGCACGCCTCAGCTGCTGCTTCATCTGGGTGTCCTCCTCCCTGCTCACCCTGCTGCCTTTCGTCATAGCTCAAGCTCAGCACGCTGGAGAACTCACATTCTGCTTCGCTAATGTGACCCAGATCCAGTGGCTGGAGGTGATGCTGGGTTTCCTTCTGCCTTTCTGCATCCTGGGCCTGTGCTACTGGAGAATAGCACAGGTGCTCCAGCGCAGCCAGAAAGACCAAAGGAGCCGACAGCGGAGGCCTCGCAGGCAGAAAGCCCTGCGGATGATCTCGGCGGCGGTGTTAGTCTTCTTCCTATGCTGGCTCCCAGAGAACGCGTTTATATGCGTCCACCTGCTGAGAGGGGACACAAGCGGGGACACACTCTGGCAGGACTACCCGCTGACGGGTCACACTGTCAGGCTGGCGGCCTTCTCTAATAGCTGCCTGAACCCGCTCATCTACAGCTTCCTCGGGGAGACGTTCCAGGACAAAATGAGAGTGTTCTTCCAGCAGAAGAGCAGATGGGTCAAGCTGCAAAGGTCAGCCACAGGAAAGTCCACCTATGAGCTTGCTGCATATAACTGCGGAGACGCAACATGTGACAGACCACGCCAGTCCCTTAGCTGTGACATCCTCGCACAAACTGTTATAAACTGTCCCTTCAAATAAAAACCAGCTGCACATGGTAGCTGAACAGTTCAAAGACACTGATTAATGGACATTGTACAAAGACGAAAACAAGGACCAGGGTGTTCTATTATAATGCATACAATCGAACATTTAATTTCATTATAAACATTCACTTGAGTTGTTTTCTTCATTGCCGCTTTCAAAAAAATCATTTTTATAAGTTAAGATTCCTTCAGATTTCATCGTTCAAGATGTTTTTACAAGGAGCTGAATTATCCACAGAGGTCTCCTCCTCTCCAAAACAAACCGACCAGGGAATTAAAACCAGTAAAAACACTGAATAAAGCAGTTTCACATTAAAATTCTGTTTCTTCTGCAGTCTGGGGCGGTGAGGTTATAAAAATAAGTTATAAGTGATGGTGACGTAACTTGGAAAGGTTAGAAAGTGGTTGTCTGGAAATGTTTTAATGTCGGGCTGTTACTTGTGGAAAACCCCATTTGAGAATCACATAACGACGCTTTATTCACATTGTGTGTTGGAAGTCTGGTATCGGTTATTTTTACATAGTGTCTTGTCAAATGAAAACTCAGATCTCCCATTTTAACAATGAACTCTTTTGTCATTACAAGGAAAATAAAAAAGCTCTACGCGTTGAACAACTGCTCTAAATTATGTTTTCCAAAATCTCGACTCCTTGTTTTAAATGAATACAAAGTTTTACAATAAACATTTAGTTGTTATCTGCACTTGTAAAGACTTTTCTTTATGGAGCATCACAAATCAGCTGTCCCAGTTCAGCTGAACACTCACAGCCACATTTAGAGAAGCCATCTTCAGGAGTAAACATTCTTACCTCAGTTTCATCGGCCTGTGTTTCCTCTGCCGCTCGTTTCTTTTTGCGTTTCTTCTCCTTCTTCTGTTTTGTATCATCTGCGATTGTTTCCTGAGGAATCTGTACGGGAGCCTCCTGGAGGAAATAAACATGTTCAGTATTTTGTTGGTCCTTCCAGGTTGTGTCAACTAAAACACATACAAGAGACTGTGTCACTCACCTCTACCTCCAGTTTACTTCTTTTCCCCTTCACTTCAGCATCCATCGTCTCTTCTGTATCAGCATTGTCAGCATTTGAACCGAGCTTCTTCTTCTTAGGAAGTTTTGATGCTGATTTCAAAGATTTATCTTTGGCCATGATCCGATTTACTGCAACAAACTGAAACCCTTTGCATGTTACTCAAGAACAGGTACACAGTCATACAGTATGAAGTTATAAATGCATAGATCATGAGCCTTAGACACTGACACCTGTTTGTGATAAACATTACATGACATTAACACTGAGACTTTAGATGCACACACTCATGTAAAACTGTGGAAGAATATTTAACTGGGCTGCGTTTATCCCGCTACTCCTGACGACCTGTGCAACTGGACCAGACTGAATAAAGACATTCAATTCAATTTATCTGGTAAAACATGTTAAAGCTTTCAGACCCGAAAATGATTGATCGTATTGTTCTTTTATTAAATGGACATCTGTAAAAACTTACTTGAAACGCGACAGGAACGTGTTGGCCTCCAGAAAAACCACAAAACACGCATGGGAACTCAAACAGGAAGTGATGTCGCCCGGGTGACGCGTGATTGGACGGATGTCTAGTCTAATGCTTTTTGATTGGTCGATGGCGGTGAGGGATTCACGGACCCTCGGTGATGTCACACTGAAAACCTTTCAGACCTCAAACTGTGAATAATGTCCTGTATGGGTTTCTATTAAATTATTTAAGTTGAAAAAATTATGATAATTCATGTATTTCTATTACATTTAGTTAAGTTACATTAAGTTATGTGGATTTGGAATCATGAGAGTTCAGCTGTATCGCAAAAAATAAATGTAATGTAAGATATTGTATTATTATACAAATTAAAACTAAATCAATAAAACAAGGTGATTATGTAGTAAGTATATTATATTATAATATTGTATATATTTTAAAGGTTAAACTCAATTCAACGAAAACAATAGTGTATTCACTAACTCTAAGAAAAAGTTTTAATCTATATCTATATAAATATACATCTATATTTCTCTTTTTTCTGTTTATGAATATTGTTTTGTATAAGTAAAAGTAAAACATGAAAATCTGCACGTGACCTCAGATCCCTCGTCTACGACTTAGCGGAACGTTCACCACCAGCTTTCGGCGCGCGCACCGGAGTGAAATAAAGGTTGCACAACGTTGGGTTACATGACCTGACTGAAGATCGTTTGGTAAGAAAACGTCCAGATTCACTGACCTGACGATCGTGTGCAGGAAGATGATCATTGACTCGAGATGTCTACAACAGCAGGACGAGTTCTCTCCGGTGTGACACGCGTGTTTTTCAGCCACAGTTCCGGTGTGAGGTGAGTGTCGCTGTGTGGAGGATGGACAGAAAGACAGCGTGTTGACTCTGCGGCTCAATGACAGTGTTTTAAATCTCACAACAGTGTGTAAACTGTGGTCAGACTCAGATTAGATGTATTGATTAATTACTAGCTAACAGCCTGTTACCGATTGAAGAGAAGCTCGTGTTCTGACGAGCTGCTTTCTGCACCAAGACCTGATTTAACCTCTAACTCGCTTCCTCTTGTTCTGCTAATCTGGTCACTGAACGCAACACCAACCAACTACAGAGACTTGTCTATAGATGATCACTTTGCCCTCTGCTTTTCATATAGTAGTAAATGATCCTGTCTACTTCCTGGCCAACTACAGGAGGAGACGCATTAATACTGTAGTAAATTAGTGGTAGATACATGAACATGTGATTTCAGTGGGACTTGTGACTTCAAGGTTTGCAGGAACCAAACCAAAGACCCAGGAGGACAGGAACTCTAATAGTGACTCACACTATTCTTTGAATAACAAGAGAGTAAACTACAGAGTCTGCAGAACCCCAGTCTCCTCTCTTGACATGTTCTTTGGGAATTCAATGTTACTGATCGGTCACTACTACATAGTGTGAAAAACATTTATCCGAGCTGCTCCTCCATATTTAGAGTAAGATCTGGCTCCGCTTCAGTTCACCTTGAAAGACGACTGATTTGTTTTCCCTTGATGCCATTTTCTCTTTTCTGGTCTGTTCCCTGTATTTCGCTTTATTGAACATCAGACAACAACTATCATAAATCCATTAAAAGAGTACAGTGATATTAAATACTATTACAAGTACAAGTCTACAGTCAGAATACAAAAAGTTTACCATCAAAATAAAGTAGCACATAGTACCATTGTTCTTCCTGCTTTTACAATTGCAAAATATGTAATGTGTATATTGTATAAACTGTTAGTAAAGATAAACCAAAATAACTCAAGCGAAGTAGCTCTCAAACTTTTACTTCATTACAGAACTTAATGACTTAATGAGCTGTAATTATGTACCCTACTCATCGGTTGTCTTAACAGATGTCTTTTTTGTTATAACAGAGTGAACAGCGTGCGGTCAATAGCTCTCAGCTCCCAGAGGGCGGCAAAATCAACAAGGCCCACAGATGAAGATGCAGAGGAGGTGAAAAATGAGCCCATCAAGTTCTCTACCAGTAAAGCCAGTCACAGGACCTGGAAGGTCGACCGCTCCCTGGGCAGTCAGCATCAGCGGCCCTGGTGGAAAGTCCTTCCCATCAGCCTGGTTTTAACTGGCTTCCTTCTGTGGTGTGTTGCGAGGAAGGAGACGGACATTGATGCACAGCTGGATAAGCAGCTGTATGAGCATTTACCTGGCTTGCTTTCAGATGAGGAGGAAGAGCAAGTCAATAAATCGACTTAACAAATGTGGAATTTAAGATGTATATATTTTGGGTCTTATTTAATGTGAAATGTGGTTCTGCATTGATGGTGGCACCAAATCATTGGTCCGAAAATGCTGGAGGTGTGGTTATGAAGCCGTCCAGTGCATCAGTGAAGATGAGTTTGGTTTGATCATGTTTGCCTTTTGTCAAGTTTCATTTGAGTGATCACAGAACATGGATTAAAATATGATTTGATGTTTGGTCTGACTTCTTGCATTCTAAACAATTTCATTTGTTGAACAATACAAGCTCATTAAAACACTGCCTGCCATTTCTCCATCTACACAAAGTTACGGATCCAGTCTCAGAACCATCATGAAGTCAACCGGGGCAAGTTTGAGGATTACACTTATGTAATGGATGTCAAGTCTAAGACACATGAAGATACTGTTACAGTCCAACTGTTACAGAGGACGCCACATTGTTTCCATTAGTCCACACTGGGCAAACTAAACCCCTTTTGAGTTTTTAAGACAATTAAAGGCTTCCACAGGTTCTTTTTCATGTTCGGGAGGGTGAGGTGAGCAGTGTTCAGCTGCAACATGCATCTTCAACACTAGATATCACAAAATTCAACTAGATATGATGCAGCTTAAGTGTGTTCCTTTAATTTTAATCTCAAACTTTATTTTTTTACTAAAGCAAATGTATACATATTAAAAATAAAAACAATTGCCAAGAATTTGAGGTAGCGGATAGTTTATTTACAGCACGAGAAACCCTATGACATGCACACACAGGGTTAAAGGTACAGATTCTAAAATAGACTTGCAAACCTGAGAAAGGCAGTGAAATATGGTTTCAGAATTTACAGATATGAAGCTCTAATCTACAGTTAATAGGACAATTGAGAATAAAGTCAAGAGTAAAATGACAAATGAAGTACAAAAAACATGCCTGAAACTACAAACGACAAGTCAGGTGATACACATGCTGGTAAGAGTTCAAGATTTACAAAACAAAACCCCAGAATGCCCCTCCCACCCCCCCACGCTAAAAAGATAAAATCAAATCATTTATGCACGCTCTCCTCTAATTCGCCTGGCCAGCTGAATGTCCTTGGGCATGATGGTGACCCTCTTTGCGTGGATGGCGCACAGGTTAGTGTCCTCGAACAGTCCCACCAAGTATGCCTCGCTGGCTTCCTACACGAGAACAAAAGAGGTAGATTACAAACATGTCACCAACTGGAACTGAATTACACAAACAATCACATATGCAAGCGATGTCCCACCTGGAGAGCACCGATGGCTGCACTCTGGAAACGCAGATCTGTCTTGAAATCCTGAGCGATTTCCCTGACGAGACGCTGGAAGGGCAGCTTCCTGATGAGCAGCTCGGTGGACTTCTGGTAACGACGGATCTCACGCAGAGCAACGGTGCCTGGCCTACGGAGACAAGCGCTACATTAAAACACCAAAACCACAGCAGCAACTTTCCAACATGAGAAAGCTGGTTTTCATCTGAGCATGCATACCTGTATCTGTGGGGCTTCTTCACTCCGCCGGTGGAGGGCGCGCTTTTCCTGGCAGCCTTGGTGGCCAGCTGCTTCCTGGGGGCTTTGCCTCCGGTGGATTTACGAGCAGTCTGCTTAGTACGAGCCATGCTTCACCTACACAAAAACAAAATACACGAAGTTAACTTATAGATCACACTCAACAGTCTCAGAATCACACTCCAGTATTGACTGGATCGAGGCGCCGTCTCGGGGGAAGTACACCGAACACTAAGCTGCTCTGGAGAGGACACCGGAGTCCCCGCCTCCTTCAGAATATAAATACACAGCGTTTATCTGTAATATTACTACAATCGAACAGAAATCCAGTATTGGTGACAGCAGCAGCTCTGGACTGGTGGATGTGATGCTTCTGTGTGGGTTGATTCGGTGCAGCGCGGTAGAAACGAGTGGTTTTAATTAAAAACAGCTCCGAGGAGCCGCCACCATTAAGCTCCGAGACACACACACGTTTCTTCGCTGTCGTTAGCGAGCAAATTTAAAGATAGCAGCGACGGTTGCAAAATGGCGCCAGCTAGCTTCCACAGAGGGTCAGGTTCAATTTACAGTCAAACTGCCGCCTAAACCCAACTAATATACAGCCACACACGTGGAGGGGCTTCTGATGTGACGTGTGGTTGTGGTGAAGTCGAGTTTCTTCGCGGTTAAAGTTAGCGAACAGCGGCTCAGGTGGGGCTAACATTAGCTCACTAGCTAAGGCGCGCGCCGTTGTTGTCAATGGACTGGCGAGTAACGTCAAACCGCGTTTCAGCCTGGATGACCAACTGGAAATGAAAGCGGTGACTTTGTAGATAAATCCTCAACAAGAAAGAAGGAAAACCACGAGACACGCGAGTGAGAAAAGCTGCCATGTTACCTTTTGTGTTTGTTTTCCGGTCGACGTGACGAGTCCTGTCGTGGCAGACTGTGGTACTGAGGAGGCGAGGAGGGGGGCTGCTATTTATACTCTGACAGGACCACGGGCTGAAGTCCCGCCCTGGAGCTTACGTCATTGGCCCAGACGAACCCCCCCTGACGGAATGTGATTGGTGGAGGAGGATCGTGGTCCAGGCGCCTCTGCATTTGAAGGAAAAATAAGAAAGTGACTTTTTTTTTTATTGAGCTCCAAAACAATCCTGTTGATTCATCAACAACAATACAAACTACATTCAACCACCAGCTTTTAGTTCTGTATTATTTTGAAGTGATGTCTTAAAATGACACTTCCTTTAAATGAATGAAAGGTGACACTGTGGGAGAAAAGTGGTCAATTACTCTCAGGGCATAAAGAAAAAGAACATGTGGTTGTGATGGACAGAGCAGGAGTTATAGCTCATGTTAACACGGGGGGTGGTCTGTTTGTGTGCACATGTGCTGAAACATAAACATATATATATAAATATATGGAACCTGATGACATCATCTGGAGCCCAAACTCAGTTTTTTCTCACAGTTTTTTTAACCAAAGGATGGAAGCCACGTTTGTCTTGTTTTGTAAAAACCCATGGTAACCACCAAACAGCCTGGGCTGCAAAACTAAACCTGTGTACTTCTTTGTGTGAAGATCAGAATCCAACAAACCTAACACCATGTTCCCTCTGACAGAACCTGGATCTTTCTGTTATTCAGCCATTAGACAAAGGAGCAAGGAAACAGTCTGATCCTTTGTGTTGATGTTAAATGAGGAGGACTGAGCGGGAAGCAGAGAACAGCCCCCAACCTCTTCCTGTTACACTTGATTTATTCTGCCTCACAGCTCTTTTACTTTCTCACTTTACCACGGTTCGATGTGTGAAAGTGGTTTTTTTCTAAATCCATAAATTATTATATATTTTAACGAGTTGTTATGATGATTTAATCACATTTAAAAAAGTGTTGGGGAACGTTTTTGTGTCAATCGACCATCAGGGGGAACGATCGTCAAGCGGAACTAGTAGCGTTGTGTGAATACTACCAGACGGACCCCTTCTTCAGAGGAACCGGAGGTAAGTCGTTCCTAACATTAAAGAAGACAGAAGATGTGAGTGTTTGAAAATGTGCTGGTTCCGCTGAACATGTCTTCATCCCCGAGACGTCGAGTTAAATAGTTGAACAACATGGCCGAACAGAGGCTGCTGTTTCTAGGTACTTCATCATCTCATCACGTTTTCCTTCGCAAAGTCTGAAGTCTGGTACAGATCTTTTTCACAGACTAAATGTGGATTTACAATTTATATTTAGCTGAATTAACTCATCGTCTGTATCTGTTACAGTTTATTTGAACTCGGGAATACATTGATGAAGAAGATACGAATCAAACACAAAAGAGAAACTGTGAAATTAGGAAAATAGCCAAAATAAAAGCTGTGCAGGACCTGAAAGCAAATAAATCAACTTAAACAAGAATAAATAATGGTTTATGATTAAAAACAAGTTGCCCTATAAGGATAGATAGATGGACAGAGAGACAGATTGGATAAGATGGATACTTTATTGATCCGATGGACATTTGGGATACAAATTAGTTGAGCTTTAGATTGTTGAGTAACTTGCTATACAAAGTCATTACAGTACCCTGCATAGTAAGTTATTTCCATGTTCATTCTACAGATATTGAACCGAAGTCAAACAGCTCCACTCCGACTGAGAGACCCCTCTGGAGTCGCAGCGACAACACCTTCAAGTTCAACTTCCTCCCTGACAGCGCTCCAGCACTTCAGAAGAACATCTCACCAGACAGGGCAGAGCCAGCACCGAGCCACATATCCTTCACCGGGGGAGGCTCTGCTTTTTCCTTTAACTTCCAAATCCCTGCTGGTACACCCGTACAAGACATGGAGACAGGAGAGACCCCAGAGGCAAGTTCTCCAGGAAGCCAGGGTGGCATCCAGGAGGAAAAGCCTTCCTCGCTGCAGGAGGTTAACTCTGAATCTGAGCTGCAAGCCAAAGCAAAGAAGAAGAAGAAGAAATCTGGGAAGAAAAAAGTCTTAGAAAGCACAGAGGCACAACAGAAGCCAGCTGAAGGGAGTCAAGGAGGGGACAACACAGAGCTGGTCAGTATGAATACTCCCTCAGAGCCTGATTTATCACTTAGCCGATAAAAAAATCAATCAATATGAGCCTTTCACAGACATGTTTTGCTTTCAACACTACAGAATTAACAATGCAGAAATAAATATGCATTTGTTTGTTATTTTACTTTTTTTATTAATTCAAGTTTTTCTTTGTGTTTTTTTTTTAAATTTATTGTTATTCTTAATACATGTAATGGTTGAACTGTAAAATATCAAAGCTTTGATACATTTCTTTGGCATAAGGGTTTGATCACAACATCATAAAATCTATATTTTATATACAAATATATCAGTAGATGTATTGGTTTGGCATCAGCTGAACTCTAGTTTTTGTTCTGAAGAGTAGTCATGCTGGGTTCTGGTTGATAAGTTGATTTGATGTTTATGTGACTGTGTGTTACAGAGTGCAGAGGAGCAGTTAAACAGACAGCTGGACTGGTGCATCGAGCAGCTGGAACTGGGAATGAGATCCCAAAAAGGAACACCGAAACAAAGTTAGTATGATTTTAACCTGTTACAGTAAAACACAACTATTTCTGCTGTCCGAGTTTAGCAGAATAAACCTTCCAAACACAGCAAAGTAAAGATGATCTGTCAATACCAGGTGTAAGCTGTGCTTAGGCCTGAATATAGAAATATAAGTATATTATATATAGTAAAATACAGATACTGAATTGCTTTGTGGTGTCGCACCTTGAATGTGTTCTGTCTCTGTAGAGGAGGAGGCATCCCGTGCTCTGACGACTCTGCGTAGCTCCAAAGCTCCACTGGTCAAGAAGAGGCAGGTGATGAGAGCCATGACTGGAGAGTACAGGAAAAAAATGGAAGAGGAGAAGAACAAGCAGTTCAAACTCATTCGGAGTGGTGAGTGTGGATGGTAGAAGTAGAGTAATCTGAACAGTAATGAGAATGGCCTGTACCTCCACCAAAGCCAAACAGTCCCTGTCCATCAAGATTCATGGATATTCTTTCTGTAATCTTGCTGAAATCAAACGGAAAGAGGTTCTAACAGAATCTCTCTGGCGGGGGTAAAAGGTGCACTTGGGTAAAAAGTTCTGCTTTGGGACTGTGGAAGTGTTCCGTTGCTGTGCACTCAATCACCATGTTTCTCTGTTCCCAACAGAAATTGCATCAGCTCAGGTCAAAGTTGTGTCAGATTCTCCAAAGAAGTCTGTTTTCCGCCAGAGGGCTAAAGTCAAAACACAGACCCCCACCACAGAGGAGGGCCAGCAGCAGCAGACTGAAGCCCAGGACACAGACCTGACACCACAGACTCAGGAGGAGACAGCAGCTTTTGTCTTCACTCCCTCAAAGGAAGAGTTTCGCTTTGATTTTCTTTGATTTATTTAACCCTCAAGACAAACTTTTCACTGATCTGAGCTGGACATCCTTTGTGAAAGAAAAATATGGAGATAATGGGGGAAAAAAACTATTACAATCACAATGTTATATAAAAAAAAACTCCTCTCTGCTCTGGTCTAAATAAATAATTTTGTATTTTTGTTTGCATTGTTTTTATTTATCAGTAAATGTGCGAAGTGACAACAAACAAGTTATAAGTCAGACACAATTCATGATTGATGAGTGTATCCAGAGGATCAGGCAGATTGTAACGAGAGGAGCTTACAGCGATCGCTGAACTCATCAATTCAGCTAGATTCCTTTTCTTGGGTGAGGAAGTTATAAAAGGTTGCTTTGGTCAAACCTTGATAATGTGCATCATCTATTGATTTCTTATTTAGCTAATTTCAGGCAATGCTTTCCTTGACTGAAAAATGACATGTTTTGTAAATAGTGTCACTCCATCGTGCATCTTTTTGACTTGTGACTATCAAAATAAAGTTGTGTTTACTTGAGACCTTTTCATGTAAGTTTTATTGTGGACAGAAATCCAATTATTACTTAGATCGTTTCATTTGCAGGGTTTTTACAGCCACAGGGAGGTGAGAGCATCTCTTACTGTGTAGATTTTTATTTCTGAGTTTGTGTCCAAGACATAAAACTAAAAAAAAAATCAAATTCTTTAACAAACAAACTTCCCCCCACATGCTAATGCTGCAAATGTAAGATAAGATAATACAGTAGATGCATGTACAGGGCTAAACCTGGTGCAGCTGAAAAAAAGGTCCACCGGTGTCCTTCAAACAGGAAAGGGTGGGGCGTGGTTCTACACGGACACAATTGAATGTGACACCCAAAACAGAAAAGTTCGATCCGCTGAGAAAACAAACTCCGCAGCCTGTAAGTGTTGAACCCATTGTGTTTCTACCCGCTGTTACAACGTGAGTCCGTTTAACTTGATGTTTCATCTTTGTGGTTATCAAAACTGGGGTAAAGTTCAAACCGGGCTTGAAGTTGTCTCGCTAAGCTAACGTGAAACTAGCTTAAAGAGAAAAGTTGGAGTTAGCTAAAGACGGATGAGTACAGAAGTTACACTTTAGCTTAGCGTTAAAATAACAGCAAGTCTGAGGAAGACATTGATTTGTGTGTTTGTTACGAACTGAAGCTGCAGCAGGAGTGACTCTCTGAGGTTCAGGAAACACTCCTTGGCTGTGAACATGTCCTGGTTCACCTCTGTTCTCAGGTGTGAGGGAGAAGAGAGAAGAAGACGAGTCTGAGGAAACATGTCTGAGCTGAGCGACGAGGCCAGTGAGTCAGAGCAGCTGGGTGTCAGCCTCTCCCTGTGGCTGGGCGAGACCCTGGTGCGACCCGAGGAGCTGGATGTCCCCCTGGACCTCCACACCGCCTGCTCCATCGGCCAGTACGACGTGGTGGCAGAGTGCATCAAGAAGTGGGTGACTCAGTATCCTCCATGCACACACTCCTGGGAGGTCCACCTCTCTAATATACACACACATGACTGGAAACGTGTGGTTTGTTTTCAGACGTGAGGTGAATCTGGACGGCAAGAACATTGGAGGATGGACCCCGCTCATGTATGCAGCGTACATCGGACACGACAACATTGCAAATCTCCTGCTGGAGGCTGGAGTGAACGTCAACGCCACCACTGCCAAAGGTCTGACCCCACTGATGCTGGCAGCCAGCTGTGGCAATGAAAGTATCGCGTACTTCCTGCTTCAGGTACAACATGATCCCCCGACAGTAACGGTTCATGCATACTGCAGGATAAGTTTCCTGTAATTCGACAAGTTTCTAATTTGCGAGTTTTCACAATATAAAATTAATGTAATACAAATTCTTTCTAGGAAGTGGGATCATAAATTCAGATTGAATGTTTTTACACTTTTCTGTTTTTCTTACCTCAAAAAGCAAGGTGCAGAGTTGGAGCTGAAGGACTCTCTGGGCTGGACGGCTCTGTTACACTGCACGAGCACAGGCCACCAGCAGATGGTCAGGTTCCTGCTGGATAACAATGCTGACGCCAATGTCAAGTGAGCATCCTCATTCATCCCAACACTCAATGCCGACAAAGACAAGTTTTTAAAAATGTTTTCTTTCAAAAACAGGGAGCCAGGGTTTGGTTTCACTCCCCTGATGGAGGCTGCTGCTTCTGGGCATGAAATTATAGTTCAGTACCTGCTTGATCACGTGAGTGGGTCACCATTTATAAAAAATGCTCTTTGCTGTCCTTGTGTCAAATATTAAGCGACAGAGACAGAAAATGTACACAGGACTTGCCTGCTGTTGAGGATTTGTGTTGACCTAATTATCCTGCTTATACAGAGGTAATGCCTTAAGATCCTGACATGTGGTTTTATTAATTTACAGAAAGTTAAAGTAGATGACCGCAATGCTAAGGGAGAGACTGCCCGTGCCCTTGCAATGATGTACGGCTGCACCAAGATCGTCAGCCTCATCGACTCACGTTCTCCAAGAACCAAACCAGGTACTTTTCTCGACCGCTTAACGTCCCACTGTTTATTCTTACTAAATGAGTTGTAATTCTTTTTTTCCTCTCCGTCATTATCTGATCCAACCTGGCAGGACACTTTGAAGACCTGAGCTCCTCTGAAGACTCAGACAGTGCACCCCCGAGGATAAGGCCCAGTCGAAACCGAGCTAAAGGCATTAGCATCCACGATGGGCCTCAGGCCATCGCCAAGTTTCGAGTAGGAGGCACCAGCAAACTGTGTGGTAGCGTCACGTAATATATCCAGTCTGCCAGCCGGTAGCCATGTTAAGAGTGTGGGGGGTTCTGTGCATTACAGAGGTTGATTAACATTTGCAGTAGTTTGTATACAGCAGATAGATTTTACTTGAATTTTGCAGTTTTATTCTATTAAGATAGAACACGATCAGTGGAGTGCTGCCATTCATAAACATAGCCATGGGTGGATCAGCAGTTTGTTAAAGCAGCTCTCCTTCTCACAGAGACTCCTGCTGTGCCGCCGGGCTACATGACCTTCCGTGATATTGGTGAACAGAGTGAGGGCCTCTGCTACCGGGACGTTACTTCGCCTATCAATGAGCTGGACGGCCAGAGCAACAGCAGCAGAGGTGAGAAGCATAGCTGCTCCTGTTTTTTGGCCTATGAAAGGCCATTTTCAGACATGAACTGCACAATAGGGTCCAGTTTTTATTTTACATATGAAAAACGCAGCAGGAGATTCTGTGGTCAAGACTCAACAGAGAAATCTCCAGCATCAACACCGCTGCCAGCCTTCGGTGTCTTCCACGTGTATGGCTCCTCTATGGCTCCTCACATACAGCTCCTTCGGATAATTTCAGGAGATTATCCAGAGTTCAGTGCATAACTGAAAGCAGTTATAGTGTCTGTGGACTATATAAGGTGATTTGGCCCTGCTTGCACTGAAATGCACCATATTACCGTTCCAGATGATAGTCCATTCTTTGACAATGACATGCCCACCATGAGGAGCAGCAGTAGCAGCAGCGAAGGCCTGCCTCATGTGATCGGCCTCAACTGGGAAGGCTCTGTGGAGAGTAACGAGGTGAACACAGAAATCCCTCTGTTCTGGAGGCAAACACCAGATTTGTTTTTGTATTGATGCGCTGTGACAGACAGATGTGCCTTTGTCCACCAGGACTCCGACCAGTGCAAAAAGAGCAGCTCTCGTCGAGTAAATAAGGGTCATCACTCAAAAGGCAAGAGTCGCCACGGAAGCCACGAGGCAGCTCACTCCAGTGCTACAGGGAACTGTGGGATCCGCACGCATGTTGTTCCTCCACCTTCCTACACTGGTCCAAAGGCATGTGTGGGTTTGATTGATTCATAATGTGACCTGAACAGGTGGTTCATGTAAAGTTTATTCAGAACTGTCTCCTCTTCTCTTGTTCCTGCAGGATCTGAGGGAGTTTTTGGCGCAAATCGGCATCTCCAAGTATCTCTCATTACTTGAAGAGCAAGACATTGATCTGCGGATATTTCTCACCCTGACTGAAAATGATCTCAAAGAAATAGGAATCAAGTAAGAGACCACAGGCCACGCTCTCATGTATACTTCTGCACATGCAGCATTAATATATGTGGCAGGGAATAATATCCAATCCTTTTGTCCAGATTGTTTGGACCGAAGCGTAAGATGACCTCGGGTATTGCAAGGTGGCACAGCAGCGCTCGCCCCCCCAGTGATGCTCTGGAACAGGCCTATGCTGACCAACTTGAGGCTGAGATGCAGGAGATGGCCATTCAACTACACAAGGTAACTACAAAGCAAACAGTCAATGTAACTGCCAGACCAACAAATTGTTTCTTCACTTCAGTGAACACCTTTCATCCACATCTGACCGACTCACTCTCCCTGTTGCAGCGCTGCGAGGAGGTGGAGAGTCTGCAGAGCCAGGTGTCTCAGGAGAAGGAGCTGCGTACTGTGATGGAGGGATGCCTGATGGAGGACAAGATGGCATGGAGGAGGGTCCATACTGAGCTGGTGGAGAACCACCGGCTGACTCAGGACATGAGCGCCACACTAGCGAAGGCTAGGACCTGCTGTGCTGAACTGCTCTCCTGCTTTACTACTGATGGCACTGGTTTGGAAGATAAAGCAAAGGATGATACCAGAGTGAACGGTGAGTTATTACCTCCCCCAAGAAAGTAGTTAGACTGTTAGTAAGCAGGGTTACGCAAAAACTAATTCACAGATTACCATAAAAATTGGTGGAAGGAAAGAACCCATTAAATTTTGGTGGAGATCAGAAATTTAGTTTTACTTTCTTTGCAACGTTTCCCAAATAATTCATTCAGTCTATAGTGGTAACGGGGGGGTGCACATGCACAAAAAGATTTTGAGTGATAACACAAGTGAGCATGCTTTAAATAACAATGCAACAACAAAGAGAAACACCAAGTTACAGATCTCGTATGTTTTGAGAAGTGTAAAAAGATTTTTGGTTGAGGTGGAGGTATGCACTTTCAGAGCTCCCTTCTAGTCGTGTGTGAGCTTTGCTGAATCACATATTTTATGCTCTCTGATTTAAGTGATTCTTTTTTTCCTTGTAGCTGCAGAGGGCCTGACACGCTCCAGTGCTGTCGAGCTAATCAAGAAGCTGGATTCCTATGAAGAGCAGCTTGGTAAGATGGTGTAACACTCAGATTTAAGTGTTTTCGTGTTATCGGGGCAGTCTGATGTTAATGCTGCCGCTTGTTTCATCATAACAGCAGGGACCCTGAAAACCGTGCAGCAGAGCCTGAGGCGACTGAGTGCCCCTGAAAAAGTGTCTGATAGCTGGGAACGGCCTTAACCTTTCCAGGTGAGTCTTGACTGGATGGACATAACAAGTGCTTGAAGAATTTGACAGCTGCTAAAAGACGACAAAATAACTCTCTCATCTCTTCAGGGATTTCTGCCAATATTCGACGGAGGGTGATCTCACCACCCTGAACAAGCTCACTGAAATGGGAGAAAGCCAAAGATGAGGACAGCCCCCCACCACCATGGGCTCAAAGTAGCAGACCTGCTGCCCCTCTGGGAAAGGCTGATAGACCTGAGCACGCCAGATCTGGACAAGGCCACGGTCAACGGCAGCTGCTGCAGGGAAATGACAAGCAGGCAGGAAGGGCACCTGACCCCCCCACACGCTTGTGCTGGTGAATACTGAACTCCACTAGTTGCGTTGTGAAAATGCACAGCGAGGAGGAGGTGGAGCTGATCAAGGATCAGAGGCTGAAATACTGTGAAACATTTGTTTAGAAAAACTGTTCTCTCTCCTGAATATGAAATGTGGTGTGAATAATGCTCATGCCACCAGGAGAAGAGGTACATTACAGAAGTAGAGAAGTCTGTTTAGTTCAAATAAGTTCTGCAGTGATACTTTGTGAATAGAATGAAATCTTCTCATTTGTATGCTGTTTGAATATAATGTCCTGCTGAAGATAAAGACATGAAAGTTACAGCAGTTCACACCAGTAATCCCTCTGTGGACCAGGGTAGGGTATCGTTTGAATTTCAAGGAATCAGATATCATCGATTCGGGTTCTAAACGATTCTCGATTGCAGTTCTTTAAAGGGTCAAAATATTTCACTTGCTTATTTCACAGAAAAACATTTCTTACAAACCTTTACACAAGTCATATTCACAACTGACTTCAATGCATTGAACCTGAAAATGAATTTGAATTAGTTACTGTTATTGAGGCCCGAGCACTGACAGTGCGAGGACCCTATTGTTTTTGCTTCGATTATTAAATGATATGATTCAATAATAATTTCTTCTTTTCATTCAATGCAGTGTAACTGTAAATGACAACACAGCAACAGCCGACTAATTTCCAGTTAAGAGAGCATGTGTGTTTATGAGAGAAGCAGGAACGCCTGTGTGTGGTGCTTGTGCACTTGCAACCGAACCAAAGAAGGATAAGAGAAATGTTACTTAAGTTTCACTTACCCGGTTGCGATGAGGGCCGGGCTGTTGGCTGAGGGTTGACTGAGGAGGAAGACTGGGTTTGTGAGGGAGAGGGAGACCAGCGCAACACATCGATAATGGTACATTCGTGAATTTGTATACTGGGCAGGCGAAGGGGTTTAATCGTGTTAGCTTTGCATCCTCCCTTGCATGAAATAAGTTTGGCACAGGTGCTGCACTGAAATGAAGCCATGCTTTTGAACGCTTACTGGGTCCATGATGACGCTTATGGGCGGCTCTACCCAGACTTATTTGCTCGCAGCTAATATTTATCTTTAAATAGTTCCTGCCTAGATAAAAATAAAATGTATTGCTTTGGGCAGAATCGTCCAGTCCAGAAAGCAGCAGTGCCAGTGCAGCTTGGGAGACACGGTCGCACAGACAGATAGCCAAGTCCTGCCACTGAATCTAGTGCCAGTGATGCGTTTAAGAACAGATAAGCAGAATCAGAACTTACATTTCTTAATGATTGAATTGGAATCAGAAATTTGGAGCTGCTTCTCGATGCCTACCCTAATGTGGACAGTTGGAAGTCAAATAAATTCAGAGCTGAGACTTTTACTCTTCAAATCCTTCAGAATCTTTCAAAGTGGATATCCGTGGATGTATTTGAACTCAAATTAAAACCAAGTTTCCTGAAAGTTAAGGATTAATACTGTCATTTCTTTTTTTAATTGACAGAAACATACAAGTATTCATGACATAATGCCTTCTGAATTAAAATCCATGCATGTTTTTTAACCTCTTATATACGAGACTGAATGTTTTAAATGTTCTTCTTTAGCCACCACTGACTAGATCTCCATATCTTTGACTGAGCCTGGGGGTCAGGAATCCCCCTGCTGATGGTTGGGATGTCCTCTTATGGAGTACATCTGAAACTCAGCTTCTGTGCCCAGGGCCTTGGCGGTAAATCTATGCGATGACAGTTTATGTTCAGTAACAACCTTGGCACGATGCGGCTGTTGGCTGCAGGAGCTGATCCAGACACAACAGCCTACAGCTCTCTGGTTTTTAAATGAACTCCAACCAGCTCAGCCCTCTTAATAGACAGGACATCTTTTTAAACTTAAAGTAAAATATGGATTTACAACAATACTAGTTACTGGGAAATATGGATTACTGTAATAGTGTTATGTTGAGCTGCCATGAGGGGTGACGAGTGAAATGTGCAAAAATCTGAGTTGAAACTGAACTTAAAAAATATTCTTCATCTCAGGGATAATTTACTCATCTCATGAAAATCTGCCAGTGAAACTGACAACTATGCTGTAAGGTCCTTCAACCGGTCGCCATCAGGCTGTGCAGAAGTGAATGGGACGAGACTGACAGTCAAATTTCACCCAAGACAAAGCTGTTCCTTTGAGGTTTATCTGAACAGAAGTCATCTCTCTGTTGGATTCTACATTTTTCTGTTGCGTTTCTCACCAGCAGTGAGACATAGAAACTGTGACAATCTAATGACAGTTACTCTGACCAGCACACATTGTGTCTGGCTGGTGGATGAGAGGCTGGAGCCTTCGGGAGGCTGCCAGTTTGGATTTCTGGGCCCATGAGTGTAAAATGTAGTGGAGGAAAATGGATAAGCAGTGTTTCTTCTTATCACCAAAGTGCTCTTGAGCAAGATGTTTTACCCACACTGTAACCAGGTGTTCTAACCGACATACATGTGAAAGTAGTTAAGGGTTTCTGTGGCAAATGCAGTGGACAAAACAGGCGTTACATCCAGGACAACTGAAAGTGTATTCTGTGGTTATTGCTTTAATGCACTTCTTGAATAAAGAGCAGGTTCTCATAAATTAATTTCTACAGTTTTTAAAAAATACGTTTTAGACATTATGTACAATCATTAACAATCCACTTAGGATGAGACAAACAGTTCTCACTGTACAGACTTCAATGTTTTACTGAGGGGTTTAAAAAGCAACTGTGAATTCAAGAAATACATTGTTGAATTCTTTGTATATGTATTGTAACATCTGTTCATGGACAAAAAAAAGACAAAACAAAAAAAAGGTTCAAAAACCGATTCAAGTTTAAAAGTGAATCCATTCATGATTGAGTTTCTTGTGAGTAGCTGTCCGGAGGAGAACACAGAACACATGGAAAATGAATCCTCGTGGAGGGATGAAGACGTCTCATGTTACTGTGGTGAGCGTGATGATGACACAGGTCTGCGTGTGGACAGATTCCCACTCCCACAGAGAAATAGCTGCGTGAGCAGCAGTTGTGACGGGCTCAAGTGTACTCACACAGATGACCACAGCCGGCAGGGCAGTGAGCGCTGCTTTTCAGCCAGTTCATTATGTGCTCCAGATGTCCACCGTGGCTGCAGCCCTGACACCACACAAACAGTCCCTTTACCACGTGGTGGCACACTGCACATACACTGGCACACTGGTGGCACCTAGAGGAGATACACAGGGCACTTGTCAGAGGTGGTTTTAAAGCATTCAGTGTTTTAAATAACACATTAGAAGCAATAGACAAAGGAATAATTTCTACATTACTGGCACCTCTTTTTCAACCTGAGATAATTGTATTCTTTTTGTTTTTTTTTTCAGTTTTGCATCTTTGGCATGTTAGAAATGTCACCAGCTCACTCGCTGTGAATCCTCCAGATAATACTCTGCAGCCTGGGAGGACAAACACTCTGCAACAACTGACTTGGACATTTGCATTCTAACATAAAGCCCCTACAGATAATTTCAGAAGATTTTCTGTAGTTCAGTGAGTGTCTGAAAGCATTTTAAAAATGTTATTCTGAGACCAACTGAGGGTTAGTGCCAAATTTGAAGGAATTTCCATGTGGTGTTCCAGAGATTTCCCATTGGAAAGAGTAGAACGGATGCACAATCTGACACATGGTGTCTCTGGTGCAGACGCATAAAAATGACACCATCGAGATACATGTAAATGATTACGTTTTAAAAGGTGCTAGTATGGATTTTGTTTCCACTGAAGTTGTTTAAAAGTAAACACATGGAATACTTAATCCAGGGGAAAGCAACAGGGTCATAGTCTAAATTTAACCTGAAAGAGACCGAGCACCTTATGGCTATTAAACACAGCTATGACACTGAACTCTAATATTAAATGGTGGTGAAGTGTTCATACCTGTCACAGATCCAGCCCTTGTTGCTCATTGGCCGCTTGCAGTTGCTGCAGTTGATGTGTAGTGTTGTAGACGCCTGGTTCAGGCAGGTGATGGCGCTGCACGTACTCAGCTTGATGACCTCGTTGGAGACGTTCCACAACTCAAATCGCTGCAGCAGGTCTATGTAGGACATGTACCAGTGCTCCTGAAATGGAAACACAACTTGCTCAGGGTTTCTTATTCTACCTGCTTATTTTTGTCAGAATTCAAATGTCATAATTCACATGTTTTGGTTATTGACCAGATATTTAAAACTTATAGTCATTAGTTATCTCAGAAGTTTGGTTTATTTTTAATTTATCAACATGAATGATACCCCATAAATCAAGACCTGACACAGTTTCTTTTAAGTATTTAAAATCACCCTCAAGTCAATCAGTAAGTCATTCTTTTGACTTGCTTTAGCCTCAGCCAACAAAAAAACTGAAGTTCTCTTAACTTTTTACAAAACTGAGGAAGACACAATTTTTTCCTAACTGACCTGAGTGAGGTCATCGATCTCTTTACGTATCCGGTCCCCCAGGACGATCAACACAGATACGGCCATCTGCACGTCGCCCTGCTCAGCGTAGTAGCTCAGCATCTCCCGCACTATGGGGCAGAAGAAGCTGGCAGGTAGATGTGGGCTGAACAGAGGCTGGGAAATGGAGATGAGGGAGAAGGACTCGATGGGCGTCAGGCAGGTGACCTCAGCCTCGTTGCCACTGACATGCGGGGAATCCGACTTGTCCTGTTGGAGGTGCTCAGGAGCAGCGGGGTTATCCATGATCTCGTGGCGCAGTGGGAAGGCCTCCTGCGGCAGCGTGTACTCTGGCTCTTCTGTTATTAAAAAGGGAGCAGAGATAATATAAGACAAAAGAGTGCTGAGCGCAGAGGCACGTATAAATAGCAGGTACTGGTGTGGTCTTTAGCTTCCTCTGTGATGAGACTGTGACTGACCTGTTTGGTTGTCATGTTCCATAGAATAGAGGTCGTCGTCATCTAACTCAGCATCACCAAACATGTACTCAGCCTGGCCCTCACTGCCCTCTGTCTCCTCATTTTCTGAATTAAATGTATATAAGCGATGAATATTGTAGAAACACAAAGACCCTTGATCTTGTCAATGTTTCATCTAATGACATCTCTTACCTTCATTATTATTGCTGATGTGCAAGTTTCCAGGCTCCAGGTGGATGTTGTCCTGCCTGCTCTCACCTTTACTGCGCTCTAGTCTGCTCTCTGTGCCCATCCCAGCACCCATCTCCTTCATATTGAAACTGAAAACATAATGTGGACAAAAATTAGTCCATAAACGAGTTGCATTACTTATTTCTTATTCATGTTTTGTAACGATAAACACTAAAAAGCCAATTTACCTGTTCATTAAAGGCAAGGCGCCGAGTTTACTCAGGTTGTGGTTTGGACCAGACGCTGTGAGGTTTGCAGGGTCGGAGAACATGATTCTCAACATGGTCCAAGTTGTGGAAACCTGTGAATTATGAAAAAAGTAAAATATGGCTGCAGCACACTTTCAGTATCACAATATAGTTTCAGATCAAATGGATTGTGACTTTAGTTATTAACAAATAATTGTACTTTACTTGTGTCTCGCCTTCAAATGATGCAGAAAATAATAAAGATTATGGGAAATGTTTATAAAACACGATCAAGAAAATTGGATTCAAATTCTCCAGCTGCTCTTTTCTGTTAAACCTTAACAGGAAGCGTTTGCATTATTTTATTGTTGCTGAAATTGTGGGTAGGTTTCAGTTGATACGTTTATTGAATCATTKCATGTAGGTAACCCCAAAAATGATCCACTGCTTCCAGCGTCTCAAATGTAAATGGATTCTGGTTGTGGTTTCCTATGATTGTTACTGAATATCTTTGTCTGATAAGATATTTTCTGAAGTCACCTTGGGCTACAGCATATATATTATTTATTTACGTTTTTAGAACAATCAATTGATTAAAACATTATAAACATAATTGTTGGTAGTGCAGATTAATACTTGCATGTATCGTAATGTGTCAAAATCCATTATGTTTCGATTAAAATTTCTGAACTATAAATTTGTCTGACCTGAGGTCTCTTGAGCTCCTGAGCCACCTTGGCATTGTGATCACACAGTTCAGCAAATGGCTTCCCACAGAGGAGGTAGAGTTGTGCGGTCTTGACAAACCAGTCCATGCGGTTACTGTCCAAGTCTGTCTCAAAGACGCTAAGAGCACTGGACACATGAGTAAACTGTTCCGTCAGGTCGGGCTTCTTGAAGAAAAAGATGGGGTTGCGGCGGTCTCCTCCAGGGTAAGTCTTTCTGCTGGGGTCACTGCTGATCAGACTCGCCTTGGCTGCAAAAGCCAAGTCACCCAACAGTCCAAAGCACAGACCCTCTGGGTTTGCCTTGTCCACTGGACGAGTGGCGTCCTTGAACATATGCTGGTAGAGCGTGCTGTCCTTTGAGCCAGAGAGCAGAAAATGAGGGTCATGCTGGTGGCGCCACACGATACCTGTGGTCACATCTTTGTGTTCCTCGAAGGTGGCAAAGGGAATGAAAGGTCTGCGAATGTCCCACACATAGATGTTGTGGTCCACCATCATGGAACACGTGGCCAGATGGTACTTCCTCTCAGGCCTCCACTTGACTCGTGCGACGGAGGCGATCGTCTGGACACAGTGGATCTCCTTGGCCCTGGTAGTGGTCATGTCCCAAACCTTCACCATCTTGTCTCTGCCTCCTGTTGCCAGCCATCCCCTAAAATAGAAATCACACTTGAATAAAATTCCTCAAACACCAACAGCCCATCAAGCATAGCTCTCATTTATCTCAAAGTTTGTGTCGGTCATCACTCTCACCTGTCCTCAGGGTGCCAGTCGCAGCAGAACACAGGGCCAGTGTGGGCAGTGAACATTCGCTCATAGCGGTCAGGTCGTCTGATGTCCCACAACTGGACGTTGCCATTCTCGAAGGATGCAGCAAAAGTGAAATAATCCTTCATGCTGAACTGGACGTCCCTGACACTTTCTGACTGACCTGGAGGAGAGCGTATTAAAAGGGTTATAAAAAAATCAACAAGGATATTAGAGGATGATTAAGTGTTATTACTGATTCAGAGAACTACAAATTTAATGAGTCTGAGTAGAGCGGTCATCCTCCAACAAGAAGGTCGGGCAGTTTGATCCCAGTCTTCCCCATCTGCATGCCGAAGTGTCCTTGGGCAAGATGCTTAACCCCAAAAAAGTGCTGTCCATAGATGCACTGTTTGAATATGTGTGTGAATGGGAAACTGTAATGTTAAGTGCTTTGAGTGGTCATCAAGACTAGAAAAGTGCTATATAAATCTAAACCATTTTCTATATATATATATATATACACACAAAGAAAATGTACTCTTTGTGGCTTATACTGGAAATTTCTGAAATATTTAATTAAACTTAACCAAGTTCAATATGATCACACAATGAAAAGACATTAAGATGATATTATTTATGTAATTGTTGCTCTGTTCTTTTATACGCAAAGAAAAGTGATAATATGCTTTCATTAAAGAAATAATTGAAATCAAATGCTGCCTTAGATCATAAGCATTAGATTAGTTTACCAGCTCTATATCACTACCTGAGAAAGTGCTGACAGATTCCTTCTTGCGCAGGTCAAAGCACTTCATGAAGCCATCCTGCGAACCACTTAGCAGCATATAAACCTCTGTGGGGTGGAAGCACACCTTGTTGACGGTGCGTTTGTGCTCAGTAAAAAGCTGGTCCTGCTTGTTACGAGAAGGTTTTCCCAGGTTCCAGGTGACCACCGCTCCGTTGGTGGCAGCTGTGGCCAGCAGGTTCTCCTCCATCTGGTGCCACATCACATCTGCACAGCTGAAGTTGAGCGAAGGTTTTCGACCAACACGGAGATTCAGCTTCTCCACAAACTGCTCCTCTTCAAGCGTGTAGATCTTGAAGATGTTGCGGCCAGCCACCACCACCTGCGTTGCGTCGCGGCACACGCTGATGGCGTTGGCGGAAGCGTCCAAGTGGCAGAACATTGTTCGGCCACTGATGGCATTGCTGCTGAGGGCTGTGGTAACACGTGACATCTTCTCCACGTTCCTGGTGCAGAGAAAAGAAATATGCCAGATCCATCAGGAAAACAACACCTTCACTTGTTACTTGCTGTGGCTGCTTCTGCCCCAGTGTCAGCTGTAAAAGACATCTGACACTCCTGATATCCACCAGAGGGTGGCACTATAGCGAAATAAAACATTAACTTCATACAGTCCTCACATGTGCAGAAGAGATGGCACTGTATCAAACAAGGTTAATGAACAATATCATGCAAACTTAAACATTTCAGACAGTGAAAGATCTACAGTACTTACTTGATGAAGAACCACCGGCCTCTTCAATACCTGCAGCAGCACAGAGTCCTCCTCATGTGCTCCCATGAGAGACAACTTGCTGGTGAGCTGGAGAGAGACACATGTAATGGAGAAAGTGATACCATCTGTATTTATAGTTAGGGCAGATATTTCATATAAGCCAAATCAATCTGTCAAAAACATTATCTATTTTCACTGATGGATTGCACAGAAGTAAACTATAACAAGTTATTATTAGAACAGTGATTAATGTGGTTATTCAGCAACTTTCACATATTTAAACATCAGAATTTCACATTTTATGTTATTTTGTAAATATAATCCTTTATCATAAATGATCCAACTACGACGATTGCAAAAATGTTGGTGGCATGTTGTCAAACACTATCATGCATCGAACGCTCCTTTCTCTCTCCAGCACTGACGAGCTCGCTTGACAGGGTTGGTTTGATCTGTGCACCTCCGCGTGCTGGCGATTGACTAATCACTGCTTAATATTCACGTGAGTACACAATGACAGTGGAGGAGAAAACAAGCTAACCCATGTGACTTCACACAGAGGTGGACACTCCAACACCATGCGCACCGCTGCTTCGTGCTCCGATGACGTTTCCTATAACTCCAATCTGAGGTGAAACTCCAGCTGAACACCCGCCGGCGGTGTTCTGACAAGCAACACGCACACTTGACTGTAGCGGCACTGTAAACATGACTGGAATGTGCTGCTAATGCTAACCAGCTAACCTAGCACTTTTCTTTCCACAGACGCAACGCGCACGACGCACGTTTCCACGCGTGTGTCAGGCGAGTGGAGACCTGTCGTGAATGTAGTATTTAAAGAGTAAAAGCTTCCAGGTGGAGAAAACAACAAAGTATTCCAGTGGACGAACCTTGAGAAACTGTTGCTCGCAGCTTGACGTACCGGAAGTAGTAGTGTGCAGTGTGGTATCGCGGGTTTTCGTAAATCTCGTGGCTCTAGGACCATGATGCTCTGGGTGTGTGGAAACAGCGGAAGCATCAATACGCCGCAGTTCATTCAAGGAATTCTGTTCACTCACACGTGCTGTGTTTTAAACTGTGTGTCCTTCACAGCTGGATTTATAGGATTCAGTCAAACAGAGGCAGTTTAAGGTGTTACATGTAGGAGGCCATTCATTTCAATCAGATTTTCCTAAGTGACAGGTCGTTCACACTGTTTTCATGTGTTCACAGGTGATGCTGTGTGAGCGCTCTCCTCCACCATGACTGATCTGTTTGCCTGTGAAGAGCCAGCTGCATGGAGGAGTGTGCACGACAAGTACTGGGATGTCGTGGAGGCCAAGGCCAAAAGCAAGAAAGCTGGAAAACTGCTGAACCTCGACAAGTGGTGATCCTCCCACCCTGTTCTCCTCCATCTTACAGTAACAACAGCACACTTAGTGATCAACTTTATTTACACAGCACTCTACTTCATCACAAGGCTGCAAAGTGCTTTACAGAGAGAAAAATGGATCAGTTATTTATCTTTGAATCTGTTTTTATATTTGGCTTCAATACTCTGCCTCGGTTACATGTGCCATTCAACCCCTTTATACTTAAAATATTTCTATTGTCAATATCTCCATTAGCACATACTTCTCTACAGTGACAGCTTTGTAGTAGTTCTGGTGGCTCACACCCCATCTTGCAGTGAAAAAAAAATGCTGGATCTGTACCTGAACCAAATGTTTCCCTGAATATTTAAAAAGAATAACTTTATACAAAGCACAGTAAACAGAAAAAAAGAATCTGATCAATATTAAATTGTGACCACACTTTGCCCTTAAACTACACTAGTTCTAAGCACCATGCAGAGCATGCCACAGTATTTCTGTAGATTTATGCTGCTTCAGTGTCTTCACGTGATCCCAGACTGACTCCATGATGTTGAGTTCAGGGTTATACTGTCAGATGCAGAACTCTTTGTTCTTATCTACTTGTATGTTTTCACTCACTGTTTCAGGCAGCAGAATTCATTCAGGGATATTTAAGACACTTCTCTCATGTATAAGGATCTAAACATCAAGTTTGCACAGCACACAATATCCGTGGTTTTTCTTGTATATGACTTCTATGATATGAATTGAGTTTGGTTAGCCCTGCTATGAATATGGGATAAAGGTAACTGATTCTAACCTGTGTGTGTCCATGATGAAGGTTCCAAGAGGAGCTGCCCATGCTCATTTCAGGTCGACCTGTCAAACATGTCACTCTGTCAGAGCTGGTGAAGCTGATGGAGTGGAAGCTCACAGTAAGTCTAGACACTAAATCATAACATTCCCAAGAAACAGAAAACCCACCCACACGAGAGATTTTCTCTTTTGTGTGGGTGTGCACCGACATTCTTAACAGCACTCAGCTGTGTCCTTGAGTGGCTCCGTGTGCTTTTCTGCAGAGAGGGAAGTTCAGGCCGAGGCTGCAGCAGCTGGTGGCGTCCAACAGTGAGGATACTGTGGAGAAATGTTCCAGAAAGGCCTTCAGCCTCCTGCCTGATGTACAGGCGGCGATCGCAGAGCTCAGCTCCCTCAAAGGAGTTGGGCCAGCCACTGCTTCAGGTGAGCACAGGGACTATTTTCTATTTCTGATTGTCTCACTGTGTAAAACCTGCATCCAGCAAATTTAGATATATCTAAGAATTCACTCGAACAAAATATTTCTCTGACCCTCCTTTAAAGCACAAAGTGAATGCCTTCTCAGTAAAGACGTTTACAGACAGTTCCGACATCAAATCACAGCACATTGACACTGGTGTCAGTCCTTATCACCAAAAGCTCTTAAATCTCATCATCTTTCCAATTGACGTCTTTATCTGCATCGTATATGGCTCCTCTTCTTCATCCTGACATATTTGTATTCTTTTTTGTAGAGAGAGAGAGTTTTGCATGAAAGGAAAAGGTCTTGAGTTCAGTGCACATTTGAAAGCAGCTGGAGTTTAATAGTGTTTATACTGGTGGCCCTAGTAGCAGGGACTCACTGTTTGGACAAGTAAAGCTAAGTCCAGCTACATTCAGCATGGCTTGTTGCTGACTGTGAATTTGGTTCCAGCTGTGTTGGCGGCAGGGGCTCCAGAACTGACTGCATTCATGTCCGATGAAGCCATGGAGAGTGTGCCGGGACTAAAGCCCATCCAGTACACAGCCAAGCATTACGCTCTGTACCTGGGCAAGATGGTCGAAAGAACTAAAAAACTAAACAAAGGTGAGGTCATGACAGGAAAGCCTTTTCTTGTCATGTAGTACAACTGTTGATTTAATACACAAATTAAGATACTCCCACTACTCAACATGAGATGAGAACAAGAAACGCTTACTTTCTGTGAACTCTTTTCACAGCCAGGTTGTATAAAAATAAACATGCCTTAATATTCTGCACTGACACCTCCCCCCTCCTCTTATCCTCAGTTGATCCCCAGCAGGACTGGACGCCCCACAGGCTGGAGCTTTGTTTGTGGGCGATGAGCATAGCCACTCAGCAGCAGCTCCCACTTTTAAAGGATGTCGATATGAAGGGTGGTGGTGCGGCGGCGGCGGCAAAGTGCTCAGACTCTGACACTGACCAGAGACCAAAGAAGAAGCTAAAAACTAAATGAAATATCAACCGTTAAACTGTTTATATTAAACTTAGATGTTTGTCTGATTTGTATTTTTCCAAAGTAATAAAGACTTAAATTGAGTCTTGTGTGGTACTTTTGATGATGATAATCAAGACTGCAAAAAACAATTGCTTTCTTTTCATATTTTGTTGATTGACTAATTGAATCATAACATTCAGCATCTTATGATTTATAAAAGTTTATCTGATAGTGAAAAATTGTCCAAGCTGCTTCCTCAAATATTTCTATTTTCATTCACCAAGAAAAATTTACATTTAAGAAAATACAGATTTTAGAATATTTACTTAAAAAATTCAGAAAATTGTTGCCGATCAGTTTTCTGTTGCTTCACTAACTGATCATTGATGATGATGGTGTTGTGCTGTAAAAAACTAAAAGCAGTGGGATGTTGCCACAGTATTGTTCTTTATTTATATTGTTTCTAAATTAAAGCAAAGTACAATGAACAGTACAAAATAAAACAAAATATATTCATATATATACAATATAAAATGGTTCCGTTCAGAACATTTAAAAAGTACAATAGATTGTGAAATAATTAATGAGGACTTTGATATAAATTATCCATATGTAAATTTAGTTTTCCTTTAGTTTCCTCATGACCGAGAGAAAAATAGGTTCTTCTGCTTTTTTTCTTTTTGTAAACGCTGTGTTGGTCCGACCTGTCGGGTTTTGAGAGGTCGAACCTCGTAAGCTTGGCACCATTATGTCAATACAAGTAAGCAGCTCATGAAAAACTACCACAGCAGCACAGATATGACTCTTTTTTCTTCTTTTTTTTTGAATTCTAAACCATCAGAGGGAAACGACTCGCATTTAAAGAAACCACCTGTGATATTTGTGTGACCTCGAGTGGCTCAGGCAGTATTTGTGAACGTAAAGAGAATCTGCCCCAAAGCTGGAAACTAAGATTTGAGCAATGCTATTAACCGTAGGAGGAGGTTTACATCTGCTCTCATAAAAGTCAAACTCTTATTACTGTTCTCAGCTGTGGCAGACAGAAATCCACAGACAACATGACAACCAGAACAGTCAGAGGCTTTCCTCATCAAAAATGGAAGTTTGGATCGATTGTGGACTTGATCACAATCCTCAGGTGTTGGGATTCAGAGATGCATGTTTGTTTTTTGTGCAGAAGATAATTTATATTTGCAGATCTGCAAAAATGACAAATCTGACCATGTTGAACACATAGCAACGATATCCAGTATCAACATCCGGTATAATTTTGGAACTCAGGCCAAATGTCTGTACATTTAGAAGACCTTACGTTCCCTATAGACCAACACTGCAGGTTTCACTTATATCAAGAGTGAGCATTTATGCACTGGTCAGCATCTCATGACTCCTGTTGTAAAATCCATCTCTGGAGCTCCAGATGTGCACCGTTACAGCAACAGTTACCCAAATCCAAGTAGCACTAAACACTAAGAAAAGGCAACCTGGCTGGCTTGTTGGTAAGCAGCAGTTGAGAGCAGCTACTGGATATAAAGTTGTTTTTGCACTGCAGCGTCTTTTTCTCACTGATCCTTTGTGTGATTATGTAGAATAAATAACAGCAAAGCAGCCTCTCTGCCTGGCGGTCAGACTTGGGCTTGTATGTATATATATAACAAGGCATTGGGCATAACAGCACAATAGATTGGCATAGGGAGGTACAAAAGCATCACAGAATGGTAATGGCAGTAGAAAATATGGCACACGACAACATGTCAGTCGACTACAATATATTATGTGCAAAAAAAAAAAAGACCACTTATGATAAAACTGCAGGAGCAGGAAATTAGGCGTGGCAGAAATGTCAAGTACGCTGCATGTTTGAATGAGACAGAAATACAATGTTTCGGGCACAGTTGCACCAACAAGGGTCAGTGTGTCAGTGAATTTTGTTCAGAGTTGGCACTAAACCTTTAAACATCCTCTCATACCACAGTCAGGTCTATAATGGAGCCTATCGAGGGGAGCACGTGTGCCCAAATTGATGGATCTCATGTTAGTTTTAGGCTATTCACCAAGCCTTTCTTATACACTGTAGTGTCACTCAATTCAATTAAACATCATCATGCAATCTGTCAGATCCCCTTGTTAAAGGAAGATATCCTGTTTATGGCGTTTCCTCGCCACAGCCATGCATCATCCTGACACCGTGCTGACATGAGCGTGACAGGATGGGGAAGCACGTTGAGGTTTTAATGTGAAGAGTGAGAGATGAGCTGCATGCCTGAGAGCAGGAGAGGCTTTTCTCGGAGAGGAGGTGAGTTTGTCTGAAGGTGTGTTGGTGCTCTGGCTGGCTCGAGCTCAGGATGAATACAAAAGCACGCACATTCAAACCTGATGAACACTTCAGGTGCTGGAAAAAAGTGACAAATCCTGAAGACGAGAAATACCAGCAAAGCAGTTGATGCTCCCACACTTTTAATGTTTTCTCGAGTTGCAACCTGGACACATCGTGAGTGGTAATTTGTCGTCTTCTGGCTCAGGGTCATCGCAATTTGGTTTGCAGAAAAGAGACAAACTATTCCTGAAAATCCCCTCCTCCAAATGGACATCAGAGCAAGGCTTTGGGAAGCTCGTCTGAAAGAGCCCATCTGACAGTCAAAGCAGTACAGCCTGAGAACAAAGGTCAGACTCTGCAACAGCAAGGTCAGACCTGTTCTCCTTCATGGCTTGGAATGCTAGTGCGTGGTAAAGGGTGACATGAACAAGTTCAACAAGACAATACTCAGAATGGACCAGAACCACATACTAAAGACCGCCCCAAGATGGACACAACGACCCAAAACAACATGGCGGCAAACTGCGTTATCTGAGCTTAAAGAAGATAAAAAGCTTGTGGGAGCATCTACTGGTGTGCGGACATTTCTTCGGGCTCAGGGCTGTGGAGATCTGGCATGAGGAAAAATGACAAACTACTGTCTCAGATATTATTTTCTCTCTTCTGCTTTTTTGTATTAAATAAAACATGGAACACTTTGCACAAGGAGAACTCAGTCAAGAATCACTGTCTCCAGGTTCAGGGGCGACAAGAATTCACAAGCCTTCCATATAAGTCCTGCGTGTTCTTTCAGGAGGTGTAATATTCACAGTTGATGTGTTCTACAAAAGCATAGCCATTTACTAGCCCTTTTTATAACCCTTCTGGGTTCTTATGAATCTTAAGTTAAAGAGGCACATTAACCTCCACTCAGGCATCCTCTTTATCTTCATTATAGGCTATGGGGTATGTATGCATTATTCATAAATGTATCTTTGCTATCCCAAGCAATAATATGTCCTAGTACACACACAGGTTTCCATCAAGGACACATTACTGCCACGTATTAGCTGATCTTCTCCGTTTTTAATGTATCTAAAAATGGCTTATTCTGGCTATTTCCTCCTGATTCCCCCATTTAACAAGGATTCTTCTGTTGCTACTGACTCTTATTTGTTGAAGCAAATGCTGAGGACTGTATTTATGACCAACTATTAAAATTGGCAGATGCATAATTCCCCCCCCCCCCCCAGGCAGCCAGTTGACATTCAAATGAATTATCGATTGAAAGACAGAAAAATGAAATGTAGCATGAGGAAGTGTAATTGCTCTCCTCGCCTGGGCTTTTCCAAAAGCTTGGATCAAGCTGAAGATGATGTACGACAGGAGCCCCGTCTATAATTTGTTATTAGCAAAGGAATGAACTGCAGCGAGGTGTCCGCACAGTGCAGAGGGGAGAATGAAGCTGCATCGACGACAAACAAGTTGCAATACCGAGTCCAGCTACACGAAACTATCTCTCGCCTGTGTAACATTCACGATGATGAAATTATTTTTGATCACACCAAAAAAGGTTTTACTGATTCTACCAGCAGGTTTCGAACCCTTTCCTCTGCTTTTGCCCTCTCTAGTTAGTTCTTTCTATGGCTTAGTTTGTAAAGCACTAGCGATTTATAAAATCAACTGAGCTGAGTCATTGGGGGTCACCTAACAAACCAGGGGATTTTGCCTCATACCTTTTTTTTCAGAGGATACAGGAGTTATCAGACAACAATCATAGCATTAATTTTGCACCATTTGAAGTTTTTCTCTTTTCCCTTTAAAGAGGAAAAAAATACAAATAAATATACTCTTGGTTATGAACATACAATATACACATCCACTATCAAATGAAAAACAAGGGGACAACTTAATAACACTCTTTTTTTTCTTCATAGGTACATTCCTTTACAAAAGTATACAGTCCCTAAGAATGAGAAACTGAGGTATAGACTGGGCCCGACAGAGAGATCCCCAATGCCCTCTGGGACACGAAAGGTCAGAGGTCAGGTGATGACACATCCGCGCCCTCCCCAGTTCAGTCTGTCAGAGCGAGAACAGGCAGAGGCCAGTACGTGTGCGTGTTGTGAATATATATATATATATATGTGTGTGTGTTGTGTTGTGTAGTCTTCCACTTCAGTTTGTTCATGTTGACCTAGAGAATCAGGCAGTGTCCACTCTCAAAGACAAGGAGGAGAAGTGTGCGTGTGTGTGTGTGTCCTCGTCTCGCTGAGAGCAACAGATAATGATATGGCATATTTTACACGGTGCACCTAAGTTGGTGGTTAACATTTGACACAACGACAGGAGGCGTTTCCTTGCCGAAGTGACGATGACCCAGGAAACTTCTACTTTTTTTTTTTCTTTGTCCTCCTCTGTCACTTTTGATTTCCCATCTCATGTTGAGTGAAGTGTGTTTCTGTGTCCACAGTGTCGGTATAATGTCATTGAAGATGCCATGAAGTGAAACGATGACAGCGACGCCTCTAACCTCTAAGATACTCGTGATGATGACACGTTTAAATCTTGCATTTAAAGCTTTTGCCTCCTTTCTTACTGCACATACTTTGGGGAAGGAGATTAATCTGCTCTCGAGTCAAAGAGGTGTGACTGATTTCTTTCCATTTTGGCTGGAAACGCTATTCTGCAGCTCAATTTGGAGAAAACTCTCTGATAGCATTTTGTTTTTTTAACTGATCTGCCAGCAAATAAAAACACAGTGCGTCCTGCGAGTTGCAGCAGGGACGTGAAATCCTAAAAAAT